CTCGACAATAAAAACTCCAGTAATTTTTTTACAGAAGACTACGACATTCAATGAGTGTACGATGTGAGAATACAGTGGCTCGTATATTCAGAATGTTGGAGGGAGCATTGTTGGGTTAAGCGATTGTTGGCTTCGTTTTTATGGTAGGGGAAAGGGTGGCTGTGTTCGTGGTGGTGGTGGTGGTGGTTATTCGTAAATGCAAAATTGGTTCTAGGAGGGGGAGGACAGATGGCGTTGGTGTATGGGCGGTCTGGGGGTTGTATACAGATTGCTCTGAAGACTAGGTGGAATGGGAATGATTCCGGGTGGGAGGCAGGGGGAGGTTAGTTATGTAGTTGCCCTCACATCATCAACTCCTCCTTCCAACCCCCGTCACTCCCCATTTTGCTCGGAGTAAGTATGAATGCAAGCAACTCAAAAGCTCAGGGTTCGGGTTGAATAGAAGAACGCAACCAGCATCACAGAAAGGAAGTAGTTTCACTCAACGGGGGAGCGATCATCAAAGTTTCATGGTCCCCCCATGTTTTGATAGCTGACGCCCCCGAATTACTGAACCCGTAATTTTCTCTCTGGGTGACTCGGTACAAACCTCAGTCCTGGTTGCTATCTTAAAAACAGTATATTCATAAAGAAGCGATGCGGTTATAATTTAGTCTACTCTTAGGGCCACTGAAACACCAAATTGGTACGTGTCATGCAGTCCACAGGTTGTTACCTCTTCACAATGCTTTTAGAGAATAAGACTCTTTGTCCACAGAGACCATTTCTGTGTTCATTTATTTCTCGGAATAAGCAAATAATATTTCTTTCGTAGCTCTAAACGTTAATGTCTGTTTTCAAGTAGCGATATTGGCAGATTGTCTAAGGACGCCGTCAGTTTTACAAATGGAGGGCATCATGTCTGAATGGCTAAACCCATATGCATAATAGAAGATATTTAGTATGAGAATACGAAAAAAGTGGGATGTAAATCATGCCAGAAGGTCGTAATGCTGAAGATTCTCTGCACAGAGTCACTAACAATTACATTTGGTCGTATAAATACAAATAAAGCGCATTTTCCAATACCAAATAAGCGCATGCATTGTTAATATGACTTTCGGGCACGATGACCTTGAAATGTAGAAAATATAGGCTATACGTTTTTGAGGCTATCTGTCTTCTCCCTCGGGCACCAGAATAAAGTGAGTGGCCTACGCGTTCCTTGACTCAAATACCACACACCCACGTACCGAAACGTCCATCAGAATCGTGATTGAATAAATATCGGGTACAGGTTATAGTGTTCTATTACTTTACAAGGAATGGTCTTTGGGTTTGAGACTGCGTTATCGTGAAGATGACTGTTTTCTGGGTTCTTGCACTGTGTAGTCTAGAAACGTTTACCGACGTTTCAGAGGTTCACCACATCAGTAAAACTATCATACTATACTACAGCACAATAACCCAGAAGACAGCCATCTTCGGACTCCCCGCCGTGAGAACCTCAAACCTCGCCTCTATAACTGTGTTCTGATTGCTACCATAGCCAGCAATAGGAATAAGATTCCTTCTGGAACTTTTCAATAAGTGTCAAGTTCGCGTAAGTATACAACGCAGACTTATCTCACAAGAAGGGCTGTTCACGCTCAGGATATAGAACGCGGCGTTCGTGTTCGACTGTCACATGCGATGAAACGACTGGCGATTTACAGAGCAGAGGAACGTAATTACTGGCCAATGAGATATAAATAATACAGTAGGGATGTGTATTTAATGAAGTGGTTCTAATTGGGCTCCAATCCTCACGTCCTGCTGTGAAACGAATCTCACTTCCCCTAGTCTGGCCAATCCTTTAAGAAATAAGTAAATGTTCCACTTGCTTCAACTATCAGCATCTCTTCATTTTGTATCTATGGGTTTCGTGTGCTTCTCGCTGTAAACAGCGACTAATAAAATTATAATAATTACGTCAGATGTTGTTAGCGTACAGAATTCCTTTTTTATTTGGTAAGTCTGGCAATTTATACTTCCGGTTTGAATGTGTAAGATGTTGGGTGTGGTATTGTATTAACAAAATTAAACAAAGCTATTCGTCGTATTACGTGTTTTAATACTTTCCTCCCGTTTTCGCTTTTTAATACATTTATTTTTGTACGACTATCAAGTTGTAAGGCAGATAAGAGGTAGGAAGTGCCCCGATATTATAATTTGGCCAGCACCATTGGCTACAAGCCGTTCTGTTTCCACCCCTTCTTGGTTTTATCCGTTACAAGAAGGCCTATTTAGGCCTATTTTGTTAAATCTAGCTATTTATTATTTGCATAGGACTGTCTCTCAGAGAAAGACCTGCATTTTTGTTACGATTATAACTCGTTTATTATCATAACAAGTTTAGTATTAGCCTATATTTTTTGTTAGTAGTGGGTGTTCTGTGTAGATGTTGTTTCTATCTTAATATTAATGCATGGACGCAAATGTGATTCTTTGCTACACGCGTATTATAAAGTATTTTTAAAGAGAGAAGATGCATCTAAAAGGACGTGCGAATGAGTGTTTTTAATAATTCCACACACTAGTACCAGCTATTTGCAAACGTCCTCAGACACTGGTCTTTACAGTTAAGGGGGAGGAGGCGTGGTGGGTGGCTCTCATACTGAGACTTTTGTTGTAACAAACCAAGGCACAGAGACATAACTTATGCATACAAGTGGACCTGCATTCAAGCTCCTGCCTGCTTCTTGTCCCTGTCCCTGAATGACACCTTCATTGATGCACTAATGAAAAACCATCATGATCGTCTACACGCTCTTACGCGAGGAGATGTTCATTTTGCTAATTTTTCTGTTTGAAAAATAATGAAAAGATATTATATGATGTACACTCAGCTGTAACTTGTACTAGATCAGCACTTTTCCATTTTCATAGTTCAAACTGTCTTCTTTTTAAAAATGCTATCGACCCACGACAAAATTTTTGTGACTTTTACCAAATATTATTAATTACAAAATTGCACGTCAAAAATTATTGTAAAATCGATAGCAGTACTTAAAACACATATTTATTTGAAAAGTGCAACAAAGCAGAATATAAAAATCAATATCATTGTTTATCTTTGATTCATTAAAGAATATAATACATGTGATGACAGCTAAGTCCCTTAACTTTTCCTATATTAAATAGTCTTTCTACAATAGACACTGTCCAAAAGGGATATTTATAGCGTCCATAGCACTTATGCGCATGAAATCAACTCGTTTCTGTCTGTCTGTCTGTCGACATAAATCAACTCGAAAACCGCTGGACTGATTCAGATGAAATTTCGTACGGACATCAATTTCATTACAATCGGTAATACCAACATGGCGGACGAACAAACTTTTGAGGTGGGATCTACAGTACCGCCACATTTAATAGTGATGTATAGTTGTAGATTTTCGGAAAATATCAAAGTATGATAAGGTGGTTATTTTTATAATGTAAAATACATAATGGTGACTTCTCCATGATTCGATCCCATGACCACATGCATAGGACTCCAGTATACTATAATAGAGCTAACGCCTTATATGGTAATGGTATTGATTTACAGTACTTGAAGAAGACATTGAGACCACATGATTTGTGCAGATAGAAACTAAATTTGTCCTTTATTAATAATTTGCAGAGAACGGCACGTGTGTATTCCAGCAAGGATTACTTATGTTAAGTCTTTCTAGAAGTCTTTTTAATGGGACGATGTAAAATTGAAGGCTACTTCTCTTTTGTGTTGCAGGTGAAAATATGGTTCCAGAACCATCGGTACAAATGCAAGCGACAGGCCAAGGAAAAGGCAATGGCTGAACAAAACGCTCACAACCAGGCAAGTAATCAGTAAGATTGTATGTAGTTAATTGTAACAATTAGCATCCAAAAAATACTGGGTATCCAGTTTGCCTTACAAACAAGAGCGCATTGTTGTAGGACTGGAAGCGGATTTGCGTTTTTCACTGTGACTACTCTGCCCCTGTTTTGTGGGCATAAACCAGACGCTGTAAAAGGGATTTGAGATTCTCAGTAAGATAAGAAGTTGTTTGTACAATCTCGCACGCACGGCGTTGCAACTCAGAACACCGACATTTGACGAGAGGCCACAAGCTAAAAACCACACGAAATCCAAATTTTAGCATTTTAAAACCTGACCAACAATGACTGCTACTGAACTGAGGTCTTCCAGTTACGATGCCCTGTGGTCTCTTCCTTCGTTACCGGAGGAACGCACCGCCTTCATCTTGCTGTTATTACTTACTACTGATTTCGAATGCTAAGAACGCAGCCAACAAAATGAACGCTTCAAGGCCACGGAAATACTTCAATCCCTTAACGGCGCCGCTCAAACTCACCAGTACAGCGTTCCTAACTTTGCCACGCTGCAAGTTCAGAGTTGTCTTCATTCGCCTGGATCGTGACCTTGAAACACGTAATTTTGTGACGGCTGCTAGAACTCCTATAAATCGAGCATCGAGACACAATAACTATAGAAAACGAGGCACACATCTTTGTTCGAACTGTGACCTCTGGGAGCCTCAAACACTGCTGATTAATTCCTTCCGTTTTATCCGAATGGCCTAATCGAATGAAACCCAGATGAATCCTTTGTCACATATCACTTTGTAAGAGCCGCGTTGAGGGAAGTATCTTTATGTACATGGACAGAACACTAGATTTTGTGAACTAGCCCAATATGGGTGAGGCTCACTTTTGCTGTGCTATTGGCTAATGTTTGATCACGTGAACAAAGAACACTTTTCCGTCTATGCCAGTAGCTGACGACTCTAAGCGAAGCTGGCTGTCAAACATGAACGAAATATCGCTGTATAGTATGCCCCGATAAGTCAGTGCCTGCTTAAAAGAATTCGAACAGACGATCAGCTGGTATTTAAATCATTGTGCTTCAAGGGAAACGGTGCTTTTTAAACAATCGCTCGACGCCCACCGTCATCACCAAAGACCTAAATGTTACCCTATCCTTGAACATCTGTTACTCTGTTCCTACACACTTTTATTCTCAAATAACTTGATGTATTTAAATTAAATTTGGTATTGGGGTCCACGCCGAAATGATCGGGCGAGCATAATTTTGGTGCTTAGACCTAGTGGTCAAGAGAGGTTCGGTTCGTATCTCGCGAGTTACGAAACACCGTAACGGGAAAGCCAAGGCATATCCAATGAAGAATGAAAACTGAACTTAAATGTACATGAAGTCAACTTTGACCAAAATATTTTAATTAAAATAATTAATACTCAAATTATTTTATGCGACTTAATTTTTTATAAGTACGATGGAATATGTTCACGCGCTACGTCACGTCAGCGACTCATTTTTTCCATCACGTTTTAATATCTATTTTAATGAAACTAGGAGTCGTAACTTCTACCCAGGACTCTTCTCTTAAACCATAAATTCATCTCAATATAAGCGCAAGTTAGGGTCTATATGACGAAACGACTGCACGCTTGGGAGCCGTCATCATCAGACAAGAAGGTAGTTTCTTAACAGGTGACAATTAATCAGCACATTTTATATTTTGACGCGCTGGTCCCACGGCAGCGTGCCTCATCTGCTGTGTCTCATGGACGTCCCAAGGTCGAACTTCGTCACAGACGAGCGATCATCGTACGTCATATGCTACGCGTGACAGATGTGCTAAATCAAAAGCGACCTACAAGATGGCGGACATTTCTGAACTTAAATACCTGAAACGTCACCAAACATTACAACAGTTTGCTGTTTTAGTAGTGACTTTGGGGGTTTCGACACAACCTATAGATTTTTATACTATCGTAACACTAATTTATTACATATTGACATATTTATCACACAAATTTCTCTAAACAATTACTATAATTCATCAAATAATTCAGTGCGGTTTACATCTCATTGAAAACTTTTTTTACAATAAATAAACTTAGCCCAATCGAAAGGCCCTCCCTTAAGTGGCGGTACTGTTTTCCAACTCAGAAGTTCTCACGTCTCCCCCGTTGGTCTTGTTAGGGACATAAAAAAACGCAGACCTATTGTAATACAAAAGGGAATGTCGTAAAGTGACGTAATATTCGTACAAAGTATCAAAATTTCAGTCAGTTACTGTCCATAATTGAATCTTAGGCGTTAAATACTTCATTAACACAGCAAATAATTTTACACTGTAAAATGACAGGGTACAAGACATGCTCACATTGACAGTTGTTACGGTAAGGGATACTTAAGAGTCGTCAGTTATGGCTACAAAATACATTTTCGAATTTTGTTAAGTGAAAATCTGTAGAGCACACAACTGATATTCCCGTTGGTTCTGTAGATTCTGTTACCATGGAAACACGAAAAGTTCTTTCTTTCAGAAATCTTGGAGAACAGAGAAATTGTGTTCTTCTGTACACAAATACGCCCAGCATTGAAAGCCTCGTTACTTGAAGCCTGAAGCAAATCGCGGCAGTCCACGACGTTTCAAAAATTCAACGGCGTGACACGCGCTAATAGACAACTGATAATAGCCATAAAACGTCCATTAATCTGTTAGATGATATTTCTACCATTCCAATACACGATAATTTCCCGTGGAATAAACCTCGCAGCATCGTAAACTTAACAGCTCTGTGTCTGTCTGAACGACAAACTATCACTCGCTCCACCATCTTAAGTGATTAAATTGTTACAGAATCCAAGAAATACAAAGCATTTTGGTTGGTTAATTAGTCGGTTAATTGGTTGATACAACAAATGGGCTTACATTAAACAAAAATTCGTTCAAGAATCTGACCATGACGTATACCCACAAAGGCATTCGAATGGTTTTGACCGTGTAACTAACTCACAGCGTATAAAAGCTGACAAGAGCCTGGAATTGTTTGTTTAGTCGAGTGTACACAGGGAGATCTCTTTTTAAAATAAAAAACTAGTATTTATTTATGTATTTATTTATTTATTAGTACACGTGAATGAGGAGTTCAGGACAGGTAAACGCGGAAGCCTGACGCAGCAATTCAGAGGAATGACAGCTCGTTGTATGGAAATAATGTCAGCCCCACGACGGTCCGAAAATCTGTTTAACAAGGCTTTGATGTGCTGTTACATACTGGATCCGCACATACGCTGCAGACATGTCGATAAATCGACTCAGTGGAAGAACGTCGTATACCGGAGTTGCAGAATTTTTCGAATGGAAAAAACAGCCCGCCAGTCATCGCGTTATGAGCGCGTAATGATTCTGACGTCGGTCCTCAGAGTAAGACTCGCGGGTAGATAACAATGTTTCGGCTGCTAATATTGCCTCCACTTTCAGGACTGAAGAAGGTAGACACAGACTTCATCAGCGCCGTGAGAACCTTTTGTGTTATAGGGTCTATTTGATACTGATTTTGTTTTCAAGAAACCCTTAAACCACATCGTCTCAATTAAGTGTGTCAGACTGATTTGCACTTTCGCTGGCTAGCTAACTAAGGAACTAAATAACCTTGTTAAACGCATACAAAACACGAAGCGAATGTCAAATTGCATATTAATTTCACAAGTTTAGCCTAAACTCATTAAATGCAGTACAGATATTCAGGAAGTAGCGGTTAAAGGAAGATTGAGACTATTATTCCTGGCGGAATCAAATCAAGGAGCATGAGATGGGCGGGTCATGTAACACGCATGGAAAAACTTAATATAAGAGTCCACTTTGAAGACTTATGCGGCGAAAGATCTTTTTTCATTGTAGGGGGAAGAGAGGTTGAACGAGGTACAGGCACTGCAAGTACTCTGAAAACATCCCTCTTTAGCTCTCATTTCAAGGCGGGAACATCGCCGAAAGTTTTACTATTGTTAATGTATAAAGAGTGTAAACACGTGATCAGCAACAACTTTGTCCCTTTACATTTTCCGCATTTTGACAAGTAACCGAGTTCTCCTACCGCATGGAACTTATGGAACACTCCGTATAATTATAGCTAATAAAACCTTTGAGAATGTCCAATACTGTTCAGTCCAGAATGTGTTGACCTCACGTCTCGTTTCTTTTTTAAATAATCTCATGTCCACTCCACTAAGCAGAGTTGTGGGACACAGGCCGAAGATAGTTCAACTATCGGATCTACCAGAGTCAATGTCTGCCTGTAGTATACCTGATGACGAGGGAAGATCTATCTTTCGAAACATCGCGATTTTCAAGTAATTTTAAAAATTATAGACGAACTATAAATAAGTGTCCAAAATAAAGAAATTTGTAATATACACCGTCGTCAACGACATTCAGAGTACAACACTGCACTAAATACAGCAGGGAGCGAACTACGAAAGAGAGACAAGGTGAAAGAAAGAAATGTGGAAGGAAGGAAGAAAGTTACGTAAATAAACAAACAAATGAAAAACAAAAACCTAATTCAGGACAGTCCGCTGCTGAATCCGACGAGCAGAATTACCACTGTAACCAACCAGGTCAACCTGCCCCTACGCCAGTGTCCGATATACCACTTTTTCACCACGCTCGTTATATATACTATTCACATAAAACATGGTGGACTTGCAATTATAATTCGCATACATATATAGCAGTTCTGCTATATATAGGTACGTACCGTGCGTTGCTATGGACACATCAAATATTACACACAGAAAATATTACAGCAGTACACACAAAATATTCATCATGCAATGCGTGCACTTGTCTCTGCACCCCCCGCCCCCTTCCCAAACCTCTCAACGACCCTACCACTAGAAAATTCGATAATATTGCTCAAACGAGTTCCACTCATAAAATGTACAGGCCATGTTGCTGATGGTTAGTATCCCGATGCCCGGACGGAAATGTGCCATAAGCATATCCAATATTCGATGGCCTT